TTTTCCTTAGTGTCTTATAATTTTGTCTTCTTGTTTTCCTTTTTCTTTCTCTTCTTCGTTTCTTCTTCTTTTCCATTTATGCTCCATCATCCAATACCTGCTTCCTCTCGCTTGTGTAGTTGCTAATACATGTTTTGTGTGTGTGTGTGCATATGTATGTTTGCGTGTGCGTGCGTGTTTCGTGTGTATGTGTGCGTATGTAGATGTGTCTGCGAGTCTTAAGTCTCTGTCTTCTGTTTCCGTCTGTACTTACGGTGTTGTAATTTCGTCATCTTGTTTTTCTTTTTCTTTCTCCTCTTCGTTTCTTCTTCTTTTCCATTTTAGCTCCATCATTCACGCTATCTTTTCTGTGCTTCCTATTATTATTTTTTCCCATTCTTCCCCTTCCTTTTTGCTTTCTTCACATTTTTCTACTATGTGCTTCCAATTTTCTACCTCTTTCATACACATTCTGCATCTCTTATTTTCTTCTTTTTCCCAATACCTGCTTTCTCTCGTTTCATTACCTAACCTAAACATTTCTCATATTTGTAGGCCTTTTATTCTTCCCTCTCCTTGAATTTCCTTTAATCTATACTTTTTCATTTCTTTTTTCAGTTCTTTCCACTGGTTTATGTATCTTGACTTTTCTAGCTTTTCTTCTAGTTCTTTTTCTTCTTTTTTCTTTAGCTCTTCTCTTATTTCTTCTCAAAACTCTTATCTCATTTCGTTTCCATTTTCCCTCTCTCTGTATATTTTACTTTTTTCTAGCCTTTCCTCTCTCTCCTCCTTCTTACGCTTTTCATCTTTTTCATTTCTTTCCCTTTTCTTTAGTTCTCTCCATACTTCTTTTTTTATTGAGCCATCTCTTTCTTCTCTTTTGTTTTCATGCCTTATTGCTCTTTCTAATGCTGTTTCTTTCATTTCTTGTCTTCCTGTTTCCCATCGTATTAAGTGAATTGGCGTATTTCTATCTAATCCTAATACTCACTTTATGTATTTTTGTTGTAATCTCTCTATTTCTTCATATCTCGTCCATCCCCAGATTTCTAATCCATACATAATCACGCTTTTCGCCAGTACGTCGAATAGGTTCACCCTTAACTCCCAATTTTCTCTAAATAGCTTTTCTCCAAGCCCCCATAGTTTTCCAAGTCACATATTTATTTTCTCTTCTACCTTCTTTCGAAATCTTATTCCATCTCCCTTCCTCCTCCTCTCCTGCATTTCATCATCTTTGATTTTCCTACATTTAGTACTAATCCCCTTTGTTCCATATATCGTATCTTTTTAATTTTTTCAGCATCGCTTTCATTCTACTTTCACTCTTTGCCATCATCACTATATCATCTGCATATCCTAATGTCCATATTTTCTTCCTTCCTATCACTACCCCTCCTTCTTGCACCTGTTTGATCTTCACTTCCAGGTTGGCGAAGGTAAGATTAAATAGCGTGCTGCCCAAAGGGCACACTTGCCTTACGCCTTTGTAAGTCTCAAACTCCCCAATTATTTTTCCTCCCACTTTTACCTTACTCCCTGTTTTCTTATATATTTCTTCTATTCTTTTCCTGATTTTCCCATTTATCCCTTTCTCTTTCATGATTTCCCATATTTTCTTCCTCTTTATCTTGTCAAAAGCGACCTTCATGTCGGCAAAGAATACGTACAGTTTTCCTCCTTTTTCCGTTATTTTCTTCCCTATTATTGTTTTTAGTACATATATTGTGTTCATTGTTCCTCTTTTCTTCCTAAATCCCATCTGCGTATAGCTTAGCGTTTCCTTTGCATCTAATTCTCTTTTCAGCTTTCCCCAGTATTTCCGCATATATTTTATATCCCGTGTCCATCATCATTATTCTTCTCTAGTTTTTCACTTCTTCATTCCTCCCATTCTTATATATTGATACTATTACTGCCTTCCTCCATTCTTCCGGATATCCTTCTCCGTTCCATATTCCGTTTAAGCATTTTGTCATATCTTTTAACAGGCTTTGCGTGCCTTCCATCCACACTTCATTTGCTATACCATCTTCTCCTGTCGCTTTTTTCTTTCTCATTTTTCTTATTACCTCTTTTACTTCTATTACTTTAATTTCTTCACCTTTCTCTCCTTCGCTGTCTTCGGTTTCTTTCCCTTTGCTTTCTTTCTTTTCTTTCTCTCCAAGTTGTCCCTTGAAGTGCTTTAACCATTCTTCTTTTCTTATATTTTCATCTAATCCAATTCTTTTCTTCCTATTGCAATTCACTTTATCCTAGAAATATCTTGTCGTCTTATCTTTTCTTATTTCTTCTGCCACTCTTTTCCCCTCAGCTTCTTTCGCTTTTCTTATTTCTTCTCTGTATTCTCTCTTTGCTTCTAGGTATTTGCCTCTGTCTCCTTCCCCTTTTCTTACCTTATTTAACTCTGCCATCACCCTATCCCTTTTTTCCTTACATTCTTTTCTCCACCATCTTTTTTTTTGATCCTTTTTTTCCTTATCTTCTTTTTTACAACTGCGTTCTTCCCTCTATTTTTTATATCTTTCTATTTATCTGTTCGCTCTATTGCATCTATCCATCTCTGATACTCCCTTATACCTTCTTCACTCCAGTCGTCTATCATTCTTTCTTCCTCTTCTTTTCTTTCTTCTGCTATTTTGTCTCCCAATTCTACTTCTACTGGTAAGTGGTCCGACTTTACCCTCCCTTTTATTTGAACCCTTTTTATTGCCTCATCACCTTCCTCGTTACCGATACATAATCTATCGTTGACATTCCTCTCTAGTATATATGTTATTTCTCTCTCTTCGTCTCCTTCTTTTCTCCCATTCTATTACTAAACCCATTTCTCCTAGCCATTTTATCATTTATCATTTCTTCTCCCTCTACGTTTAACACTTTATCCTTGGCCTTTATTTCTTCTAGGTTTTCTTTTGTCTTCCGTTCTCTCCCTTCATTTCCTGTTCTTGCGTTGAAGTCTCCTCCTATAATTATTGTTTTCCCTCTGTTCTCCTCTATTTCTTCATATACACCGTTGCTATCATGTATTTCCTCCCTCCAATCTATATTTCTCCTGCTATGACCTCACTTGTCCTTTCTTTCTTCCATTTAACCTTACTCATCCTTTTCCTCTCTCTTACCACCATTAATCCTCCCTCTATTTCTCTCCCCCTTCTACCTTCCCTTCTTGAGTCTCTCCACTCTATGTTATACTCTTTCAGTTGCTTCTTCACCCCAGTTTTTGCCCCTTGCCTCTTCACCCAAGTTTCCGTTAGCCCTATTATATCGAATCCCCTAACATATTCCCAGTCGTCTTCCTCCATGCTCCTAATCCCCGCTACGTTCCAGAATAGTATCTTTACTGCCTCTTTTCCCTTTCTCTCCCGCCCCTCCTCTTTCTCTCTTTTTTCCCTATTGTTTTCGAAGCCCTTCCGCCCTTTTTCCTATCATTTTTCCCTCTTTCTCGCTCCCCCAGCATTCTTCTTCCTTTGATTTCATCCCGTTATGCCACCTCTTTACCTCTTTACCTTTACTTTTTATTTCTCTCGCTTTCCTTCTTACTTCCTCTCTTATCATCCTCTACTTCCACGTCCAGAACTGATCTATAAAGATCTTTTTCTGTCCCAGCTTCTTTTTCCTCTTCATAATTCCTTCTTTTTGTTCTCATGAAGCGCATCTAATTTACCACATCTTTTTTCCTCTTTCTCTCCGATCATCCCTCCCCGCTGTCCCTCCTATTCTTCTCAGATTCACTATCTCCTCTTTCATTTCTAGTTGCTCTCTTAACCAGTCCCCTACCTCACTCTTCTTTTCCCCTTTACCACCATTCATTCCATTTTTTCCATTACTTCATTAAACATTTCTATCCATTCTCTCCTTTCTTCCTCCCATGCCTCTCTTAAATCCCTTATGTCTACCCGTATCTTTTCCATTATATCTTCTGCACTACTACTTTTTTCCACTTCTCCTATCGTGTTGTTCAATCCCTCTCCCTCCTCCCTTTCCATCTCGCTCCCCTCACTTTTACTCTTGCATCTTTTTGCCTCTCTCATTTCTCCTCTAATATTCTCTCGCAGCCCCCCTCCGCTCTCTCGTCCCCTCACCACCTTTACCTTTTCTTCTTTTCCTCCTCTGGGCCTTTCTTATGCATCCTTCCACCCTTATCTCTTAATTTTTCTGTTGTCACAAATCTTTCCATCACTAACCCGTACGCCTTAATTCATCCCTCTAATTCTACTCATGATCCCACCTTTATTACCTATCTTACCTTTTCTGTCTCCGCCTTTACTTTTTACCGCCCCTCCTCTCTGCCTGCCTTTTCCGCTTCATAATTTTTTCTCTTAACCTCAACTTTTCTTTTTTCTTTATTCCTCTCTCTCTGCTTTTTCCTGCTCTTCTCCAAATCTCTCTCTCTTTCTCTACTCCACTTCTCTTCCGCCTCCACCCTTCTTTCACCTCTATCACTCTCCTCAAACACTTTTCCTCTCCAACTTTCTCACCAAAACTCGCACTCACAGTCAATACACGTCCTCTCCCTTCCTCGAGTCGAAACCTACTCCGAATAAAGAAATATAAATCACAATTTATACACAAATAAATTAGTCACGTAAAAGAAATAATAATCACTGGTACTGATCAATGGTAAAGTACTTTGATGTAACCAATTCATTTAAAAATTGTTTTTTTTTGCGTTACATTATATCATTTAGTTATTGTTATCAGACAGATTGTAAATAAAATATGGAAAAACTTTTTGAAATACTCAAATTAGTTTAAAACATGTAATGAAATATTATCATTTGTCGTTATAAATATTTTCAAAACTTAAGGCTATATACGCATTTCAAGGAAAGTTGATCCCTGTATCTTTATTAGTTTTTAAAATATAACCTTTTGAAAAATTTTTTTCATTTTGATTTAAAGTTAATAACTTTTGCTATAATCAATATTTTGTTATAAATATTCTGGAATATGATGAGCTCTATATATGATTAAAGTCGATGTAACTTATTAATTACTAAAGATTTTTATATACTTACAATTTGAGAGGAAGCAATCTGAAGAATCATGGTCGCGAAATGAGGCACCGTTAATATTGAATAATATCATCGACCACTGCAAACCCGCAAGCTCCTAGACCAACATTCGACATCAGATGAACTAATTCTCTTGCATGGCAAACTGTTACTTCTAGAGGAGGACGGCGTGGTAAATTCGTAGATTCTGAAAATCAATATGTTTATAATCAAATAGATTAAGATCAAAGGATATGATATACGAGGTGTGATCAAAAAGTAAGGTGAATTTTGAAATTTATCGGGCTACGTCCGTTCGATCTTCGACTTTTTTATTTGGTTATGTCGGCACACTCGTCTAGAACATACGTTCCAAATTTCAGCTTTGTAGTATGTTTGGTTTGTTTGTGAGAGGCATCAAGGTTAGAAGTATTTTGCGTGCTCCACGATTTGCTGCTGTCTAAAAACATGGATCAAAGAGTTTGCATTAAATTTTGTGTGAAAAATGGAATCAAATGTTCCAAAACACTTGAAATGCTGAAAGTAGCATACGGTGAGTCTACTTTAAGCCAAAAAAATGTTTACAAGTGGTATAAACTCTTCCAAGAAGGCCGAGAAGACACCGACGACGAACCTCGTTCTGGACGCCCCAGCACATCAACAACTGATGAGAATGTTGAAGAAGTGAAGAAAATAGTGTTGGGAAATCGTCGAATTACCATTAGAGAAATTGCTGATGATATTGGCATCTCATTTGGTTCGTGCCAATCAATTTTGACGAGACGTGTGTCAGCGAAGTTTGTTCCGAAATTGCTCAATTTCGACCAAAAGAAACGTCGCATGAGCATCACCCAAGAGCTACTGAATGACGTCAACGATGATCCAGATTTACTCAACAGGGTTATAACAGATGACGAAACATGGGTATACGGTTATGACGTCGAGACTAAGACTCAATCGTCCCAGTGGAGGCATTCTGGATTACCAAGACCAAAAAAAGCACGCCAAGTTCGATCAAATGTAAAGGTTTTGCTTACAGTTTTCTTTGACTGCAGGGGCGTGGTGCATCATGAGTTCTTGCCACAGGGTAGAACAGTAAATAAGGAATATTACCTGCAAGTTATGCGCAATTTGCGCGAAGCAATCCGCCAGAAACGTCCGAATTTGTGGAAAAATAAAAATTGGCTTTTGCACCATGATAACGCCCCTGCTCATACATCGTTGCTTGTGCGCGAATTTTTGGCTAAAACCAACACAGTAACGATGCCACAGGCACCGTATTCCCCAGATCTGGCCCCCTGTGACTTCTTCTTGTTCCCAAAACTGAAGAGGCCCATGACAGGACGGCGTTTTGCCACGATTGAGGAGATAAAGACGGCATCGAAGGATGAACTAAGCAAGATCACAAAAAATGATTTTTTGAAATGCTTTGAGGATTGGAAAAAGCGTTGGCACAAGTGCATTATATCCGAGGGGGATCACTTTGAAGGAGATAAAATAAAAATTGATGAATAAATAAATATTTTTTGAGAAAAATAAAAATTCACCTTACTTTTTGATCACACCTCGTATATTCCTAATTCACATACTGAAATCTAAAGATAACAAATACAAAACGGTATTCAAGGTACACCACCTTAGAAGTCCATAACTTATTTCGTTAGTGATTAATAATAATAACAGAACTATATTTTATACTGTTTGAGATATGATATAATGGCATTCAATAAAAGGTATTCACGAAATGTTCAAAGAACATTAATAATTGAAAAAATGTAATTTGAAGAAAATTGGGATTGTTTTGCTCATTTTTTTCTATAATAAAATTTTTGAAAGTTTTTTGGAATAGAATTATTATGCTTGAGAACGAGCAATTATTTATATCACTTTAGCAATTGACTATAGTAAGCATATTTTAAATAAGACAAAAATAAGAATTCAGCAACAATTTGATGTACGGTAATTTATTCACGAGCTAATAATTTTTTCTTAAATAATTGAAGAAAAAAGTATCAGCTTCTAATTACTCGTATATGCGTAAAATTTATACACAGAATTTATACAGGGTATCAAAAAAGTTTCGGTACGAGCCTTCATTTTATCATGTAAGATATTTCAGACGAAAGTCAAGGTCATTCCTTTAGTAATTTTCAACGACGAATCTGATAGTGATCTGATGGCGAATTTGATTATTTTAACCTTGAAGATGAACTGCAAGATCATTTCAAGGTTAACACTCTTTTTCAAACGGCGGAAACTCCTTGTTTTGATACTGGCAATCAAAAATAAAAATCGAGAAAATATCATGTTTAAATATGTTCCCTTACCGTCAAAGTCATTCCTTTGATTTGTTTACTTTTAGCGTTACCCTGCAATTATTCATTTGTAGAAGGTAGTAATAACTCTTCGGGTCATTTCTTTGTCGATCACAACAGCTTCTTTCTAAATCCTATTTCGTAATTCTTCTAAGTTTTGTGGTCGAGTATCGTGAGATTTACTTTTTAAATATTCCTAAAGAAAGTAGGAGGGGTCAGGACGATTGATCTAGCAGGCAATTCTTTGATCCATCTACTTCCAATGCTTCTTTTATCCTTGGTATGATTTGATTCCTAACAAGTTTTTCATACTTCACAGCAGTGAGATTATCTTCAATGTAAAAAGGATCTACTGAAATTTCATTCAAGGTGTTAGCCTAAACATTGATTTTTTGCAGGTATTATGTATGACTCTCTTATCATTATCAATCATTTATTATAGATTAATATCTACAATTATACGTATAACTCTCTTATCATTGTCAATCATTTATTATAGACTAATATCTACAATTATATGTTTAATTTACCACTTAATGGAAAAATTGCTTCATTAGAAACAACAATCTTGTACAGAAAATTAAGATCAGTATCAATTTTAACGATATCGTTTCACAAAACTTTACTACACGGTTGGGATTACCCTCATTAAAGTCTTCTACTAAATGTATTTTGTAGGTATAGAATGTTATATTTTTCTCATTGTTTCTTGAGAAATATCGTCTTATGTACCTGCTTTATGGAAAATATGATGCAGATTTTCAATAAAAACTTGTGTGATATCAAATTACATTTATTTAGTAGTTCCAGATATTGGACAACTTGATTTATTAAGTATTACTACATTACTATCCACTATTACAAATTTATCATTTGATTTATTAAGGTCCTTGACGATCCCATGTTCTTCAAATTAGTTTACAGTTCTTTTTATTATGGTTCTAGAAATGGGCTTTACACCATCTCTGTTACGGAAAGTTTCATTAAATATTATTCAAATATTTAAACTTCACATTCAAAATCCCTAATTATGCATCATTAATAAATAGTTTTTTCCTGTTTAAAAAGATAAATTTATGCCATGATTTTTTAATGAAATAAAGGACAATAAAATCAAAAAACTTCACAAAAACTTTCTGAAAACATTGAATATCACTGAAGATATGAGTATTCTTTATTTGTTTGTGGAAGTCTTGATGAATCAAATAATACAGGTTAATAGTAAGTGACTTTATTTAATTGAAGACAAGATACAGACTAGTGCATTCGCACGGACCGGCATGTTGGCTCGTTCATTCGAGACTAATTTATTAGTTCACGTATGCAGGATAGTAACGAACTTTATGCACGAGAGGGAATATCATAAGAATTTTTAAATTATTTATTCTAGCGGTCAGCGTTTGATCCTTGAAGGAGACAAACTTGCCTGATATACGATCTACTCGAATAACTAGTGATAGTAAATCAAATGAAGTGAGAATTAAAATTAAAATCAAATCACATAGGAAGAATAAGAATTAGTAACGACCAAAATGGCCAGCCAGACGAGAAATGTAATATCTACTCCCATGAAAATGAACATTAAGAAGTAGGAAATAGTTAATAGTAAAAGATAGCGAAATAGCCCAGATAAATACGCTCAAAACAAAAAATAACGGCAAGCACATCTACCTAAGTATTGGCTGAGTCAAAACTAACAAGTTCGACATTCATAAAAAAAGGATTCTAATGATAACAAAGCAACTATAGTAAATTCAAAAAAAATAACACGGTGCCAATCAAATCATCTTCTATCGTTTTCAACGTCGAAAACATTCGACCGTTAGAATCTTTGTTAAATTTCATAGCTAAGGAGAAGAACTACACTTTGAAAGTATTAGCGCAAAATAAAGTGAAAATTCAATCTACTACATCAGAAAAGTATCTGCCGATAATTAGCCCACTTAAGGGAAAAACTACGCAGTTCTACATATATCAGCGTAAAGAGAACAATAATTTTAAGGTAATTCTAAGAAGTATGCACTCACTTGTCGACAATTAAAGCTACAGGTAGCTCAATTTTTACTTACAAATAATTATCTATTGGTACCTGGTAGTTATTTAAATCACGACCTTTTGTCTCCTATCGCTCTGTACAACAGGTAAATTTATTTAATCGTTTGTCGAAATCCTTCAATTTAGCATTAACTATGATTTTACGTCTGTTGTTATTATTCATAGTATATTCGTGTTATTACTACATTTATTCTTATCCTAGTTTTACTTATGTTTAATTATTCATATCTATTGTTGACGTTCCATGAAAAAAAAATCTTTAGTAATGCGAATAATTAGTTAGTTATAAATAATTTATAAGTACTCGTACTGTATGCTTATATTATACTTCGTATATACCAAACAGCGTTCCACCCCATGGTGAAATACGTACAGTTATCTCAACTCAACTCAGTGCTTTAAAAAGCTCGATTAAAGTTAAAAAATACCGACTACATCTACAGCAGGTCCCACGGCAAAATCAGCGAGAAGAGAGCGATATTAGTACCACAATTAGTATCAACGTCGTTCCAATTGTGATTCGGTATGCGTGTGGTTAGGAGAAGAAGTTCCCATCATGCGGATTTTCTTAATATAAACTGTATTAGAGCTCGCATTCAAAAGCTTCGTCTTTTTCTGGTCGACGATTCTTCCTACCACATTTTTAGGTTTTTAAAATCACTAAGTAGCTGTATGGCTCGGGTCCATCGTCGATAACAGTATCATTTAGATATAAAGATTCACGGTGTTGACAAATAATCAATTAACGTGAAATTTTTCTAAATGTATGCAATGAAGTCAAGGTAAAAAGGCTTGCTACAACAACAACGACGGGGTCTGGATAATCAGACATCTCTTC